AGTTTACAGGGAACAACTTGAGCATCAGTGTCTTCTCCAGGAGGAATAGGAAGATAGGCTACAACAAGAGATGTTAGAGGAGGAGGAATCCGCTCAGAAGGAAGAGAGGAGGAAACATAAGCACAAGTACATTCTCAAGCTACAGGCATAACAATGGGTTGGATGAAGCCCACACCAAGAAAGCCATTATCAAGGACAACACCATAGTTTTATTAATGCTCACAGATAGCTCCACAGCTTGTATTATAGCAGCTTCTGCTCACAATGCTTCATCTGCTATCGACAATGAAGATCTGGCCTTCAAGGATTTTGCCAAGCTTGTCCTAAGATCCATTACAGCTATAGAGGAGGCTAACTGGCCAGTGGACCACACCAGAATGTTAGCCATCTTTTGGAAGAACCTCCAGATTCATGAATTCTGCTTTAAGTGTAATCCAATAGCACAGAAATCAACAATGTGCTCAAACACACCAAGGACAACCAAAGGGATTACTTGGTCAGTGTTTTTCAGAAATCAGCATTTCATGCAATACTAACAAATTTGTTCTTTCCCCACCTCTATGGTCTTCTTTCATTACATGATTCACACTTTCCTGTATCATGCCACATGCTACAAATGCCTCAGGCCACATGCTTCACACACTGCTTCACTCTCATTCTTTGGCCGTCACAGACTGATCAATGAGTTGCAACATCCAATAATGATTCATTGAGTTAGTAATGTGATCATCAGCATGATTTTTGCAAATACTCTCCATCTCTCAAGAATAGGACCAACAGAAAGAGACCTTGGCAGAATTGTCAATCCAGCACAAGTTGAACATATTCTTAAGATAGCATCACTAAGACTAAGGACATAATGTGCAGCTTGTTGTGTGTGAATCTACTGTTGGCAATTGAATTGAAAGAGGCATTCATGGAGCAGTGTCTTAGCACCAGTGACAGCACCTTGTATTGGAAGGTCATCAGGCAAATGTTATAGCACAAGACAGTAATGAAAGCATCTCATAAGTTTTTGTATCTATCTTGGTGATATAATCTGAAGTATGCTTCCAAGGGGCTTGGCTTCAGCTTGTTAGTATTGTCTGTTATGGATCTTGTTGATGTTCCAAATTGATTGATATATAAAATGATCTCACTACTAGGTAAAAGTCAACCAATCTTCACTCAACAAAGTGTGACAGACATATGCTGTTCCTGACCACCCAGTCTTTTTTTTGGTCCCTCATGAATTTTCCGATCAAGCCTCTATATTCATAGTCGAACTTGGTGCACCCCTGGTGACTCAGAACAATGTCTAGAACATATATGCTGAGCTCCTCATGTGTTTCCAATTGATTGAAGAGAATACACAGATTTGCAAACTTCTTGTGGTGCAACCATCACTTTCTTGTGATGTGAATAACTTGCATAGAATATTGCACATGTTGTTGCTAACAGTGTACTGGCTGATCTATGTTTGCATTAATATATAGAGCCAGAAAATTATGATTGTCCTATTATTCCAACTACATCTATTTTGCACACTGGTCTTAAGATGGCTGACTTCACACCAATCAACCAATATGGTCCTAGAACATGTCAATATTGTAACATCAAATTTGATATTAACTTGAGGTTCTAGTGACATTGATTACTAAAACCATATTTAGTGTCTTGTTAATAATGTTGATCCAGTGATGGGTGCAGTATCACCTATTATACAGGCAAGTGTGCATGTACCGTCACATACTACAGACCTGAGGTATCACTCAGTTCATTGCATTAGCACTTGCCAGTTCTAAACTGACCACTTTTGAACAGCCAACAGTTGAAGAAACCACATAGCCCCAGCTTAACTAGCCCATCTAGTAGTCATGTTTATAAGTGCCTTATTTTAAGAGATTGGATCTCCTGATTCTCCTTATTTTTGATTTACCTTATCATGTGAATTAAGGAGAATAAGAGTTGCCCAGAATTGCAGGTACTGACTAGTGGGAACCTGGATGATCAGAGTCATGGGCATAGCAAGTAGCATTACATACCCTAAGTGGCCTTGGAGTGGTTCTTAAGGGATAACAGAATGCTCAATTTCAACCAACCTACAACAAGGGGGCAATGCACATTGACGACAAGACTTCCATCATTGTATTGACCTATACCTTCTCAAACGAGAACCAGTGACCATGGGGCAATGCACTACCCCTCCAATGCTTAAGCTGCAAGTATCTCTGTCAATGGAAGTGCATCTCCCCTTTGCTTTCTGATAACAGCTCTATGGTGAAGTTTGCCTGCGACTCATACAGATATGTTATCAAGTATACGAGGCCCAGTTAGGCATGGATCATATTATTTACTCAAGGTTATCAAGCAGCCAGCACTGGTGATAGTAGGCTATTGAGAAAGAATCACCATGCGGGTGGTTCTGGGTGGTTGATATCTGTACTAGAAGTTGAGTCTGATGTGTAGGATATTTCTTAATCAGAAGTATCTATCAGTACTATGATGCAGCACTGATCTATTATTTGCTCTCTCTCTTCTTCAAATTTCCATAGATGTTAAGAATGTATTGACAAACCATACATCTAAGTCCTCATCATCTTCTTTGGAGAACCCATGACACTTCTTCCCTTTACCTTTTCAGAAGAATACAGGCTGAGCTACGACAGATGTTTCAGTGCCCTATGTAATCATTGAATAAGCAAATTTGATGATCCTTTTAAAATTAAATTAAATCTCCTATTAATTCTGGCTCATCATCATACTCAAGGATGTCCAATTGACAATGATGTCCAGTATCTGGAAAATATTATGTTTCCAACATGGATCATGATGAATACCATGTCAAGTCCTTCATTCACCGCCCCCCCTCCAATATGAAGCCTTTGGCCAGGTTCTACATCTCTTTTTTAATCTTGCTGATTATAATATAACTGTCCATAGACAAGTTTGATGCAGTTAGTTTAGTACATGAATTACAATTAAAAAGCCCAGTTTATTATTTTTACAGTCCATAGATCATAAGGTTCTAGAGAGGGCCCATCTGATTGGAAGTATAAGAATGTATAATGCTAAACCATTCCCAGGTGTCCAGACATAGTGGGTCTAAGGATATTATATAGGAAGTTGAAAAGATCTTGTAAGGTCTGTTGAAGAAAAATCTACCTTCTTGAGTCTGCTATTGTACTTAATGCTTGGGATCTGTGCTAGTGGCACAAATCCTATGCTTATTATTATGCATGTCACTTTAATACTGCAAGAGTCAATTCAAACTCATCAAATAACTTAGAGGTGCAGTAAAGCAACATGCTTTGAAGTGATTCATCTTTCAGAAGAGCTGAACAATGTGATGAAATAGTGTCATCAAGCAAGCTCTGCCTCTGATAGGTACATTCAAGCTGATATCCTATATTATATAGCAACTCTACTATCATATCAGATAGTAAATACTTAATATAGGAAGAAATAATATTGTTTCTCACCAGTAGTATTAATATTAATTAGCTACAGCATTCTAATCATATTGACAAAACAAATAATAGTTTATTCCGTAATATAGAACATTATATGATGCAAATCCAATATTAGCAAGGTAGTATGTGCCTACAAGGATTCTGAGATCTACAATACAAGTAGCATGATAACACACATATTCCTTGCTTAGTAAGAAGATCAATGCTCTGTAGGAGAAAATGAATCTTATGCCCCTTCAACTAATCCAAACAGCTTCAAAGGAGGGGTATCTAAATATTGCCAATGTCATATATGTACATGTGGACTAGGTTAGTGATGACTAGAAAAGGCTAGCACAAGTTTGATTGTCATAGTGCAATAGTAAGCTAAAATCATTATTGAAGATGTATCTGCACTGAGATAGCCACCATATTCTATGTATAATGGTAGTACAGAATATATGTATGAATAAATATGTATGCTAATGGTTATTGCAGAGTCGAGCTATATAATGTCTAAAAAATCTTGATGATAATGAATTATAGCAAACATAAGAAATACAGACTTACTGCCATGTATTTGCACAAAACCTGCATCAAAAGCTTGCCTACTTATGGCTCTTCTCCCTATTCTAAATTACTTACACTATAATAAACACATGTGAGGCGTGCTTGAAGATCACCTTATATACCCAATGTCTTTCTCTATCACACTTGATCAGCTTGACAGCATTACAGTTGATTCCAATGATCTCAAGGCATATTTTAATGCCTGTGCTAAATACTGACGACTAAACAGTGTTTGCGCACCATTCTGGATGCACTGGCCACTCGCTAATCCATCAATCTTTCTGATGCCCTGCTATTGGCAGCCCTTCGTCATTTTATCATTGCAATTCATGCTCTCAGGGATGTTCAATATTTGGTGCAGTCCCCTACTCCTAATGATGACCTACTGGCAAGTATTGACCAGGACCTTTGATCTTCCATAAACATAGGGATATTATTCTGACATCAGGCATGCTGTAGGAACTGATTCCTGGATAGGCTTGTAGAGAATATTCTTATTTTAGTGTTATGTTGGCAGTCAAACTATAGGTGTGGGCCATTAGGTCCTAACCGGAGTTTGAAACCTAACCTCACGCAGGCCGGGACGGACCACTCAGCGCAATTTGCCTTCAACATCCAGTTCCTCTTACGAGTGTCTCATCATACTTCTTTCCCAGGACATCACGCGGATTGTATTCGCATGAAGCCGACAGCACCACCCATCAAACGAGGGCGTGGAAGACCGAGAGGAAGCAAGAATCAACCAGGTGCAGGACATGTTGGCAGGCCACGCAATGATGGACAGCCCTCGAAAATGGCATAGCGGACATGACGATGCGGAGAGTACTACTCCAGGTGAGAATCTTCTTGTATCGTTTCTCGAGCATCTTGACTAATGAAGAAAATCAGCACCAAACACCTTGCATAGCGCCACGCAAACACCGCACAATGGCGAGGTTCAATGTTGTGTCAAAGATGAGTCATAAAATCCCTCAACTAATTAATGATGACCTCTCATGCATGCCACCCTGCTTCTCAGAATCCACTCTGACACCACACAGAGCCCTTGCAATTGATGTGGATTTGGACTCGGAGGTGTTCGAAGACCTCGATCCTCCTGTAAGTGTTTGCACCATCCCTCCCGCACTTCCAATTGCGCCTTGTTCTGCAGCGAGGTGCCTTTGAAGCAGACAACCCTTGCATTTCGAACGGCCGTGCAGGGTGCCAACCCAGGTGAGTATCTAGTATCTACTAGCCATTGTCTCCGGTGCTCTACTATCATGCTAATATCTGCCTCCCAAAGTGTTGGAGGCACCTACTGCCTCAACTGTCGTGCGAACACTGCACATTTCGCCCCTCAGTACTATGCCCAAGAACAGCAATCCGAGCTTGCTGCTAGCATTACCCACCAGCCATGGGACTTCTCTGAATCTGGACCGGCTGCTACTATACGCGAAGCTGATCCACCTGCAGAGTCAGCAGCTATGAGCAGTGGGATGACTCAGCGGCAGCCATGGAGGCATGATGCAAATGCACCTGCACTGCCACCATCACCAATGGTTGAGCCGCAGAGTGCGACGGGTCTTATTGATGGTGCGTCTTTGCCTTAGCTGCTTCTGTGGTGCCCATGCTCACACATTATTTGAACTTCAGTTCCTGAGAACCTATATGGCTCTGATCTCGAAGCACCTGCCCCTCATGATGACACTGAAAGTGATCAGGATGAGGAAGCATCCCTGGAAGATGAGTTTCGCCTTGTTTCTGATGACGGAGGGGAGGATGAAGACATGGAGCATGGACAGGGGGCCTCGATGTCTGGGTCTGTAGGCAGATCTCCATCGAGGTCAACAATGCCACTTTGGCTTAGCGAGTCCTGTAAAGTTGTAGAGACAATGTTGAAAAAAGAAATCAAGCAGAGTACCCAAACACCAGCCATGCCCAAGTGCTATGAGCAGCAGCAACTCTGAGTCAGGGATGCTTCACCCTTTCTGACGTTGCTGACACAACCTAACATTGCTGTCGAGCCCTCGATATTCCATCGACCAGCCTTCTTTGTTTGGCTCCCACACTGTTTGCTGGGTGACCGCATTCCCTGCCCTCAATGCAAAGCAAACAACAAGCTGACGAACCAAGGAAAGCCAGTTTTTCTTCAGCGGCTTGGATGGATCGGAAAGCCTCGACGTGTGGTTGATGTAGCTCGGAATGTCTACATCATTGGGTACCGCTATAACTGTGTCCACCCTGGATGCCGCAAGACATATCAAAGCTGGAGCTCCACAATTCTCAATGTTCTTCCTACACCAGTGGCCATGCAATTCCCCTTCCGATTGACTTACCGCAGTGGGCTCTCAAATAGCCTCGTTTCGGTTTTGCACTCCTCAATCAGGGCAAGGATAGGACCAGTGCCATTCATGCAGATGTTGCAGTCATTCCACTACGAACACTTCAACAATCTTCACCTTCAATACCTGGAGCTCGTGCACGACCGCTACAAAAGTTATCCGAAACAGTTTTGGGTCCACAAGCAAGCATTTGGCTCATTCAGTGACTGAAATGGCTATGCTGGATTTGTACCAAGTGCAGGGTACCTCCGTCGCTTTATGACATGATTATCGAACAGCGATCCACGGAGATGAAACAGTGTATTGCCATGCTCCCGGCGAGAGTGCTCGCAATTGACCATAGCTTTAAGGTGCCTAGTTTTATTATACAGTATCTGCCCTGTCTCTGACATGTATCGAGCGAGCAGATTATCAAACGGCTCGGTAGGGTGGGCAGTGCTCCCCTATTCACTGCACTTCATACTGTGGTAAACGAGTACTCTGAGATTCGGTCCATGCTCTTCACGATGACGAAGGGACATGATCAATACATGGTTAGGTGCTGTCTGGACAGCGAACCCTGGTTCGAAAATCTGAGCTCAAACCAGCATGTGATGATGGCACATGTTGCCAGCCGCCTGTCAACAGCTGACTAACGTAGATACATACCTTGGTCATTGTATTATCATCATCGAAATGTCTGATAGATCCAGCAGCGGATCTTCACACTCCCTACGCTCTCGAGGTACCATTGAAGCAGCAGCAGCATCTGGAACATCCCATAAGGCGCCTGCAGTGTGGTCAAAGGCAGAGGAGTGATCGAAAGGATGATGTCTGGGCGCGTTTTACCAAGGTAAGTACTGCAATAGATTGCATGCTCTCTAATGACATTATCTTCAGTCACATCCTCATGTAAAGCCCTTTATGTCAAAGGGCTTTGATCATTTTGAGATCATGGAGCAGTTAATGCCAAACCAGTCGAAGGGCGCACATGTTTTCCGGCCCACCACAACTGCTGTCTCAACTTCAGTTCCCCCAGCAACAGAGAGCGCAGCACCAAGTGCAGCGCCTCCACCAGCAGGGCCACCATCATCAATTAATCCAGATTCCATCGCGCCACCTGTTCCATCCACCTATCTCACACCCTCTACTGAGGGTTCCACCACAGACTCAGCATGGACGAGCATCAGCCGTAGCAAACGTAAGTACAGCGCACTTGCTCCTGGCTCAGCCACCAGCTCCCAGAAACGAAGTCGGCCACCATCTGCCACGTTAATGGCACAACAGGAGGGTACTGAGACGATGAAGAATCTTGTAGAAGTAGTGCATGAGATGCAGAAGAATTTCACACTAGCTCCTCCACCGCTCCCAATGCCACAGCTAGTGCAGCCTGGAACGCACGTTGGGAGCGCCATCGCCCTGCTCAACAAGTACACAAACCTTACCAGCAAAGAGCGCCTCTCCATTGCCAACTTCCTAGCCGAACACGAGAACCAGGCCATCATTTTCTACTCGTTGGATGAGGCAACAAGGCTTGAGTGGTTGGAGGAGAAGCGAGTCACATCGGGGTGAACGATATTTAAAAGAGGTTTATATGTTGTACAAAATGTGAAGACAATATTTAATATTTAAACTGACATAAAGATGGGTGCACGACTTCAAATTTTGGTGGTGTTTTGTGTGTCATCCAAAATATCAAATATTCACAACCATATTCCCACAGACAATATGTCAACAAATATAATAAATATAATCAGATTTTCCATGTCTGCTTCAATTTAAAGTTTTATTGTACATAGATTGTATGATCCCTACTAGTATAGTACTACTAAGGCAATGGGAGCCCCCTTCGCTCACATTCCTCAAAGTACTACTAAGGCAATGGGAGCCCCCTTCGCTCACATTCCTCAATATAGTCGGCCCACATTGCCACTGCAATTGCCTCCCGACGAGCATCCGCTCGTCTCCTCTCAGCAGGATCTGCTGGTCCTTCAGAGAGCGCCCCATGTCCTACAGCGTCATCCTCCGCAAGATCATGCTCATGTTCGAGGGCGACATCAAACAGATCAGGGTTGTACCTGCATACGAAGTTGTGAATAGCGCACAGCGCTGCGGGGATGAGGGCCTGAACGTGCATGCTATATTCCGGTGGGATCATCAAAATGCGCCACTAGCGCTTCAACACACCGAAGATCTGTTCGACGACATTGCGAAGTGCTGCATGTTGAAGATTGAACAATTCTTTGGGATCTTGTGGCCTGGTAGAAAATAATTCAATAGAAATAAAAATACTAAAACGAATGAACTCACATAAGGTTTGCTTGATGCCATTCCTTCAAATGATAGCGTACACCTCGATAAGGTACGAGAAGCGCATCACATGTACCAAAACCTGCGTCAGCGAGAAGATATTTGTGCGCAGGCATGCGCAAATCATGAGACCGTGCATCGTTCCATAGACTATGGTGCGCGTCACTTAGCCACCACTACTTTTGAACAACGTTCTCACCCCCTCGAAAAAAAATCAGATTTTTATTTCCTCTTGTAAAAATGATCCTTTCGATGAGTAGAGTAAAGCTACAAGAGGAATTATTGATTGAATCAAATCTGAGCGAGTTTTTTAAAAACAAAAGGGATGATTTGGCCACCTAAAGTACTATGACTCCCCATCAATCAAAAATGCGAGCCAATGTCTCCGGAATACGTCTGTGAGACTTGTACTTTGTAGAGCTGAATTGCTTAACCTGAAACTGGGCATCCTTTGTGCTCAGACCCGTCCGATATGCCTCCATCCAGCGGTGCATGCGATGTTCCCACAGTCGAATGGTACTGAGCTGCACAGACTGCATTGCTAAGGGCATGTTCTTCTTCAGGGTCTCAAAAGTGCCGTCGCAGTTGTCTCGGAGATATTTTTTGACCTTCCCCCAGAAATATTCGATGAAATTGAGTTCACAGTGGAACTTTGGGAGGAAGATGCAGAGATGACCAGCGTTTTCGATGATTTCCTGAATGTATGACTTTTGTTGCTGAAAATCGGGCTGGAGCTCGAGTATACGTTTGTTGCAACAAGCTGTTGCATCAATATTACACTTTGTGCCACACTTTCCACGAGACTGCCGCTGCCAGAGACCACGTTCACTCAAGACCTGCTTGATACCTTTGGCTTCATTTGGAAATTGCGGGTGATCGGGAGGAAATACCATGTCCTGTTCGATCCTCATGCCATTGTGCATGAACCATCCAGGTCGCATATGAGCCTGTTTGCCACCTGGATTCACATTCATGCGAGAAACGAGCAAGGCATCTTCAGCATATGCAGAGTGGCCCTGCGAGTTATCGATGAGGAACAATGCTTGATATCCAGGACCATGGATACGTTCGAATGTGGGTATAATTTTGTCACTGAGCTGGATGAATATCAGCGGGAAAGCTTTGCCAAGAACTCGACACGAAAGACCCACCTGTTTCACAAACATCTCGCCATTCCAATATCCCTCATGATTCTTTCCATACTCCAATGATTCACCTGCATCCACCATGTGTCCAACTGTTGAGCAAATCACGTCACTGCGATGGAGGCCACGTCCCACCCCTTTCTTTTGCAACTTGAACTGGTCTTCAAAGACCCAATATTGATCAACCGCATCATTTGACTGTGCTGTCATCTCGTCATGTGCACAAAGAACAAGGCGCCGCTCCACAAAATTGCACTCTGCATCATTGAACTCTGATTCAACATCTCCAACAATGTAGCGGACAAGACGTCTCTCGTATTCCTTCATCATTGGCAAAAAATGTTCCTGTCGGTACTGGACCACATCAGGCCAGTCGTGGCCATCAAAGTAAAGGCCTTTGCGGTGTGACATGTACCGAAAACCTTCCCACTGCAACCATCGACGAGCAGTAGCAAGGGAAATTCCACGTCCAACTTTGAGGTGAATGCGGGGAAATAATTCAAGCTCCAAGTACTTTTTCAAACCACGGGGCATCTCGTCATCAACAAGAGCATGGAGATATTTCTCTGCTTCAGAAGGTATAAGTTTGTCCTTTGAAAACTGCGCAAGTTTCTCGGGATTGACTACCCATTTGTTTGAACGAACATAGGCACGAAGTTCGGCAGCGACAACGGGGTCTCCAAGCAATGAATATACTTTCGCATGGCGGCCAGCCAATGACTGAGGGAGCTCCCGCTTTGATACCCAGGCATGGGTCCAGCTGCGCAGTTGACGGCCACCCCAGATAGGTGCGAAACCATGAGTTTCAGCGGCACGTTCTGATGCATCAATTGAAGAGCGACCTCTCTTGATAATGAGGGCAAGATGGCTTTGGATGGTACGTGTTCGTTTCGCTTGCAGGCCACCCAAACCACCAATAAACTTGGTTTTCTTCGACTTCAACAGCTTCTCAATGGCTTCCAATGCACACGCCTATCATCTCCACGCCTTTCTTTATCGATTCTCTTCTGGGCACGAGCAGGAACATCAAGCTTGCAGCGCTTAAGTGGCCGCACAACAGGCAATTTGTTGCTTATGCCATGTCCATCACCTCCAGGTCCTTTGCTGTCGTCGTCATTGTCATCATCGTCCGAGCTGGAGTCAATGACATCCTTGGGTTCGTCTGAAAGGTAGCCAGTGAAAGCGGTCGCTGCATCACATGCTAACGGAGGCTGCGCTGCTGCGGCAGCATTTGAAAGTGTTTCATCCGCACTCGGTGGTTCAATCTCGGGCACAGTGTCGTCTTTGGTTGCACACCACTGTCGCATGAATGCAACCTGTGGATTGGTTCTGATCAGGTGTGCCAGTGCATTAGATTCATTTTCCAGGCCATTAACACTCATACATACGATGTCTTCATTTTCTTTTGTTGTTCAGCTTGGTCTCGTGCTGCCTTATCCCTCCGCCGCTGAGTACGACCCGAGAGCCCATTGTATCCAAGTGATCTGTTCCGTTCTGCCTTCTTCCAAACTGCGCCTGTCTTCGGCTTGGATATCTTGTCGAACAAACTGTCCACTGATGTGCCCAGGGCTATGACCTCTTCTTGGAGCTCCCTCAAGTTTTCCTCAAGCTCGCTGCCCTCCAGCTCGCAGAGGCTATCGCACTCCGACCTTTCGCTATCAGCATTCAAGTCTGTTTCATATTCATCACCTGTATCTGACCAATAACAACTGACACCCCCAGTATAACCACACTCATACTCGGAGTCCAGCTCTATCAGGTTAACTTCCCTGCCACAGAGTTTGGACGGCTCTGATGTTTGTTCCTGCAACTCGGAATAGGTTTGTGCGGGGGTGGCTTGAAGAGTGGAGTTACTGTGCTCGGCAGTTGGAGCTGTTGGAGCTGACCATCGTGCGGCCCTAGCGTGAGCGGCTGCTACCTTCCTGTGGTTCTTGGGCATCAGAGACTGGTAAAAACAACATCTGCACGATAAATTGTCGTTGTCTACTGTAGCGCTACATGTTTCAAACTAATATCGAAGCATCCGTTGGAGTTGCACGCGTAGGGTTAGGGTTGAAATTTTTCCTCAGACCGATTTGGCCACTGTTCAAAGGTAGTGGTGGCTAAGTGACGCGCACCATAGCATCGGCAGCCGAGCCATCCCAGCCTGTGAGCGAGTATGTGAAGTAGAAGTCGAAGTCGCATATGAATAGACAATTTTGGGATAAAAATCCCTTTTGGTTGCGCAGGACAGTGTGATGTTCGAGCAGTGCAAAGACCCGAATGTGGGTGCCATCGATGGCACCAATGCATTGATCGAAGAATCTGAAGCGTGGGTCATCGTGGATTGCCGCAGAAATGGGAGTGTTTTCAGTTGGGAGCCGGACATTTGTAGTGTAGAAGGGAGGGGACGAGAAGAAAGTGAGCATGCGTTTGAAATATCTGTGAAAATCATCAGCGCACGGTTCATCTTGAATTATTGACATACTTACCTGGTAATCGTGTCTGGAGAACACTGAAATCGCTCACCAACATGGCGAGACGACAGTCCTGTAACACACGTATACAGGAAAATACCTAGCTGCTCTTCGATAGTGATGCCGTTGCACGACTGAGCATATCCATGTTGCCGCAGAACTTGTAAGAGCTCCTCAAAGGTTTGAAAGTCGATGCCGAGATTTAGCTTGATTCGGTCTGGGTGACTGCTGATGAGTTCGTACACCCAGGCTTTTCCTGTGAGAATTGAGGTGTGATATGGGACCTTTTCTGTGCGTGATAAAAATAAGAGGTTATAAAGGTAGGAAATTTGAGCGACTGCGATGGTGATGATGACCATCGTAATTTGGCGTCATTGATGTATTGCTGTTTGGGCTTCGAGGTCCATGTGGGTGCAATGATTTTGCGCAGTTCAAACATACGTATGTTATATATTCCTATTGTACGTGTCAGATCGCTATCGATATCTCTTATCGATAAAATATATCACGTGCCATCATCACGTGCTGGTTTGAGCTCAGATTTTCGAACCAGGGTTCGCTGTCCAGACAGCACCTTACGGTTGCATTCGACATGGAATGGCCGGCCAATTTGGAGACCAGAATCCACAGTCCAGTTGCCTTGATTCAAGTGGCATATCAAAATACAGTCTATCTAATCAAGGTCAGTGGCGATTTTTCCTGTGATGTTTCTGGTTCCTTACATGTTTGCATGCACGCACATCCAGACTGCTCCATTTCTCGAAAATGGTGTCATCAAGCTCCCACACTCCCTCCTTGTGTTTTTGCGTTTGCCGCTGTTCAAGAAAGTTGGTGTTTCAGTCGGAGCTGACTTCAAGCGGCTGCAGAATGACTGGATGCATCATGGCACAGCATTGGATGAACTGTTTGCAGGACACGTGGAGCTGGGAGCAATGGCTAAGGAGCGTGGTGCTACTGTGAAGAGGACTGTGGGGCTTGCCGAACTCGTCGGAATACTTCTCGGCAGGCACCTACCAAAGGACCCCCAAGTCCATGTTAGCCCTTGGTGGGCTGATGCTGTGCTCCCCCAGGAGTACATCAACTATGCTGTGCTCGATGTCTATGCTGTCTCCCAGGTGCATTTACAGCTCGTGGGGATGGACATTGCTCAGCCTGTTGTGGCCACCACCCCTAGTGGGACTGCAATTGCACTCCTGGCACCTGATGGACAGGAGGTGGCTCACGGAATTGTGGCCCTTGAACATCCTCCTGCCCTCGATGGTGTTGTCGTGTCACCAAAACGAGTTGTGATGACAGTTTCTAAAGTGCTCGTGCCATCTTTCCTGCTTCCTGCTCGCCTACAGAAAGCAAAGCAGGCAAAATCACTTGCGTCATTCAGCACTCTTGTCCTGAATGAGGATGAGTTGATGGTGATTTGGAGACCAGCCCTGAACAGACTATCGAGGGCTCCTTGCGAGATACAGCTGCAGAAGCTGCACTTGTAGGGGTCATGGAGCCCTACGTGAATATTGCAGCAAGGAACAACTCTATCATTCGTTCACATGTTCTATATGACAATTTTCATTGCTACAATCAATTCCTGATTGCTCGCCACCATGGGCTCAGAGGGCCGTTTGCACGAGCACTCAGTGCAGTATTTTTCATACCAGTCGCGGAGGACAAGGCTGCCATGGAAGCAGTACTGAAGGACATTGGGACGACATACAATGCTCAGCTTTTGTCAAAACTTGAGTGGGTGCTGTCACGTGTCCGGCGTCACGTACCTCCACCTGAAATTCTCCTGCCCCGTTGGTAGCGAGCAGTCAGAGTATCATTGGGAACAAAAATATTAATGTATGTCCCATCAATTGCACCCTGGCAGTATTGCAAAAATGGGTACAGCTTGGCCTAGTCAGCATCCTCAGTCTCATCTTTGACATCAGAGTCTGGCTATGTTGAAGGGAGCTTCCACCACTCTTTAGACTTTGTTTTATTGTGTCTAGGGAGTCTGGCACCAATACCAATAAGAGAGGGGATGCAATGACAGGACAACCACTTTTCAATGACCGTGCTTGGGAAATCACAAAGCATGTCATGGAAAATGTCCAGCTTTGGATACTACTCAGACCCTGCAGATGTTGATAACCAATCTGCTATCTCTGTGGCCAAGCACCCAGAGCATCATGAACACATGAAGCAGCTGGACTTGTGCTTCTAGTTTGATAGCTTATTTAGTCATAATATGAATATTAAGATGTTTATAATTATTAAGCTATTGCTCATTTGTATAATAGGGGTCTTATGTACAGGACCATCATCCTTATAGACTATCTTATCTAAATAGATCCTACATTGACAAAAAAACAGTCTATTAGAGAATGTATCAATCCCAATAATAAGTACTGACAAAAGCAATGATTTTATTGAAAGCTTTTGGAGCATTCTGAAGCTTCCAACAAAAGCATTGAGACCAGCACAAGCTTGAGTACAAGATTATAGAGAGGTAGTCAGATGAATTACACTAATCATATTGATTACTTACTATTAAGACTGGACCTTTATATTAGTTGACATATTATGGACTTGTAATGATCTGAGTCGGAGACACATCAGACATGCAGCAAAATAAATTTTCATGCCACAACTGTGTTTTTGTTACCACAGGATCAGCTATTGTACTGCTCACCTCATCACTATCTAGGGCAAACATTGTATTACATGTCAACACATCTTTCTTTGGATCACCTTGTACTAGCCAGTGACCCTGCTACAACTAGTGATTATAATATAGTGAAGTTGTACAGTACCTAGAGTTCAGAGTAAGTTGCCAAAGAGGCAGGAAGCACTGGACTCTGGGATATGGGCGATGCGGGATAGCAGCTCACCCTTTTGTCCCTAGGACAAAGTCCCTTGGGAGCCAGGAGGCGCTGTGTGCCTTCACTCATAATCTCTCCCCCAATTTTTCATCCTTAAAATTGTACACATCATGTTGTAGCTCAGATCAGTCAAGTTTAAACCTTCATGAATTCTTACCAGAACATGACACTAGAGTGAACCTCAAAGACAGCACCCATCCAACTTCCATCATCTCTACTTGCCAACTTTCTCGCACAGGATGAGAATGAGCATGTGTGTACTTCATCATGGAAATCATACTCAACAGTTGCTGGTGAACTCAAGGACATTTCTAATGGTGAGGATGGAAGGCCGTCTAAGGACCAGATCAAAACCCATTCTTTTCCGACCCCAACGATGTTGAAGAGTTATACATTGGAGTCATGATGAGCTTGGATTAGTATGTGTTATCTATCTACTGATTTTTCTATTTAATAACTCTTATCAGGTTTGGATGTAAGACAAGTGCATATGAGTCAAGTCACTCATCAGGTGTTCTATCATTGTGCATCTTAAATCTACCCAGGGCACTCCAGTGAGTAGCATGTTATTGATTGTTGCACTTGATAGTCTTTTGAGGAAGTTTGTCTTCATGAGCAGTCTATGGGAGGCTTTGTGATGATATATGAAGAGTGCTGTGTCTGGAGGAGAGCTGTTGACCCGAATATGATTGCGCATGGCCTCTTCTGGGTCTGCAAGTCCGGATTGGCGCACCCAGAATATGACCTCTCTATCTATCACTACCTTGGTGTGTGGGATGTGGAAGTTTGTCATCTCAAGACCTTAACGGTCCTGAGTGTTCCACATGTCTGAGGATTTGACATGAATCTTTGGGTCAAAGGCATCTAGGCAAGGGATGGTGAATTCACCAACTCAGACACATGTGAAGAAGATTGTTGTCAGATAGGTGGTACACGGCTGTGTCGAGAGGATTATTGGGGTTGAGTTTCTGATGGATGGTAATTAGAGGGATGGTGTAGGGTTCATGCTTCAGCTTCTTTGACAAAGCTGGGGTGAGGGATATAGTGGCTTTGAGCAGTGTGTCAATCTCTGTGTCTTCATCAAGCATCCAGGCAACACTGTGCAGGGTGTGCCATGCCCAGATACCATGGACGTAGTTAGATACTGTTCTTTCAGAGTAATGGCCAGCCATTTCAGTAATAAATAGACATATGACAATATGACTTGTGGGCGTGTCTCTGGGATCAGCTTGCTATCACAGAATATGTGGTATACAAGCAGTCTTGATCCATACATCTCCTATGTGCTTTCAGCATAAGTGTGTACCATGACAGCGCAAATCTTACTAATCTTGGACTGAGATAGCGGTAATCGCTTGCCTTGAGTGTCCTTTGGGGATCCCTTCAACAACCCTATGATTGTCTCCGAAAACCTTGAAATAAATGCTGGAGGGGCATGAGCTGAGGACTGTGCGGATGAGGAGCTCGAATCCAACACTCTCAGCCCACCCAATGTCTCGGTAATCTCTTTTTCAACCTGGGAGCAGCTCCCAAGCTCTCCACCTCCTATTGATGTAGATTCTGATCCTGTGACCAGAGCTAGTGTCTAAATAAGCAGGGAAGTCAGATGCAATACAGCAGCCTGGGATTGTGCATGCGAGGTGTTGGGATCTGAGGGACTTTTCCACCAGTCCAAGTCTTTGGTGGTGTTGCGCAGGGAGGTGCAAGGTAGAAAAGAGCAATTCTGTAAAATTCCCATAAGCTGCTTCAAATTGGTGAGGTAAGCTCCCTCTGCTGGGATAATAAGTGCCGCATGTAGCAGCTTCTTGTATAGCTTCTGGGTTTCGTGTAGTGTGTGTGTGTGCAATGTTTTTGCCATGTGTCAATGGCCTCCAGGTACTTAGCCATTTTCTCTGGGGACAGAGAGATTGAGAGATCAGGAACGTTCCAGAGGAGACCCGTGAAATCAAGGTTGATTCTGAATGGTTTGTCCTTCGAGATTTCCTATATGATTCCCAGAGGTCAGGAGTAATGGTTGATGTCATCCATGCAACAGGTAAATTGGGGCATCTTCCTTGGATCGGGGTGATAGAGTTAAGAGGTCTTTGATCAGGAATGAGCAGTCTTTGTTGAATTCCTCAGGTGAATTATTCAGCATTGTCTCTATAAGCTGGAATTTGCCTGGTTTGCCAGGCTTGGGGATAATGGACAGCAGCGCTGTTTGGAACAGTCCAATAATTGATTTGAGTGCTTTAGCCAAGAATGAACTGATGAATTGGTCTTTGGAAAACTCAGTATTAACAATTTTCTGGAAGGTTTCTGCATGTACAATGACAGACACATTATTAGGAGGGGTGTAGGTATGTGTGATAGTGGGGATGCCCCCAGAGAAACCTGTCGCGAGGCAACTTGTGATATGTGGGTATGGACATGAGTGCAACACAATGAATAGACTCACCTGATTATTGTTTTTGCTGGTGGTAGGAAGATAAGCTGATGTCATGTCCTGCGTTTCAGACCCGGACCTATCATGCAATCATTTCTGGACTTCCAGATCTGGCCAGCTTCTATCTTTTATGTCTTTTCTCTTTTGTACGTCCCTTCTCAGTTAGCCCCTGTTGCTAGTCATCTAGTTATACCTATAACTGACTGTACTCAATTTCTGTACCTTCTTCATTTCTGTCTTCATTTTATTGAGTTCCGATATACTAGTGTTAGGCTTTGCACATGCTCCATCCATAGCCTCACATAGCCTTGCACTGCACTGACTGATTCTCTGTTATGTCCTCCGTAGTATATATAAACCCTGTAAATTCTCTGTACTTCCTCAGTTCAAATTATCTAAGACTCTGCTCATTCCCTCCTCTGTCTAACTTGAGTTTCTCCTCTTGTTGTCCTCCGACAGTCTTAGGATTGACTCCTATCGACTTATGACCTCTGCCTCTACCTCTGGTAGTCCTCCATTGTTTCCTTTCTAGTTCGGACTTCATCCAGATTAGTCTTATCACTCATTCCCGAATGTTTACTGGAATCCCCACAATTGGACTCCAGACTTCAGACATTGTCCGTTAGCCCTTGGAAGTTAGGGGCACATACTCAGGTAAGGGCACAGCCCATGAGCTGAAGCCAAGCCCTTTGGATATGACCCTTGAGCATGTTCTTAACAGCTGATGGGGATCTGATAAGATGGGAAAGTACTTAGATACAAAATGTAGTGACATCTGTGCCCTGTCTAGATGCTGGATATATACCTGGGGTAATGGGCCTAATTTTAACTTGCAAGTATCAGACCAATGGGTAAGCAAATAAGGCCGTCTATTCAAAGCTATCTGGATCATTACAATTTAACAGTTCATATTAATACTTATCTGGTTCAAAGATTGGTTACAAACATACCACAACAGATTATTCAGCATTTCTCATGATCTCTTACATTTTTACCACACATTTCTCACAACTTTTTGTGGCTCTGTTACATAATGAGGCACAAGCAAAGGAACAGAGTTTAGTCTTTGTGAGAACAACAGAAGTGGCACGAACTCTTTTTCTCGTACCGCAACTGTCATTCCCTAATAGTCGTTCTCGATGTTCTCTCCATTCTCCTTTGCTTTTCTTTTACACAAACACCTACTAGTAAACCAATCACCCGCAATTCCTTCATCCTTCCAACTGAATATATCGGATACCACATCTCAACTATGGTAGAAATCATAATACCTTATATAAACTCTGACCCAGTGCTCGAAGTTCAACCGAATTTTGAGTCACCCGCCTTTGCAGCATGCACTGCTGCCCTCATAGCCTCTGGGTTAACAGCAGAAGCAGCCCTCACCCAGCTTGTCGATGGCTGGACTCAAGAATACCAGGAACGTGTCGTCCTCTGGCAACAGCAGATTGACGAAGATGTGCACGTGCTCCAAGAGGCTGCAGACCACGAGTGAGAAGAAAGAGAAATCACAGAAGCCGAAGAGCACCGCAAAACCAAGAAAAAGAAACTGAAGATCAACGATTTCAACGCTGACCTACCTGTTTCAGACGTCATTATCCTGCGTCCTTCTCAATTTGTGCTTCAGAAAGTCAAGAACATGGAATTCGTCAAACTCTGGTACTTCAGCCCAGACAGCTGTTGTGAGGCTCGAGACTGGAACAAATCCTCCACAGATGACACTCTAGGTCTCGAAAAGATTGATGGCATTGTCACCCTGAAGTCATTTTCTTCCTTCAAAGCCTCTAACAAAGCCTTACAGGATCATGATCTCTCCTGGAGGCAGTTCGACATGGCCAAAACCAGCTTTCTCGTCCACATTGAGAAAGCCAGTTGGCCTGACAAGCACCAGATGACACTAGCACTATTCTTCATGCTCATCACTAACCATGAGCACAGGCTATGCCTGCGGGGAGAGAAAATTCTCCTCCACTATGCAAGCATGGACTGAAGAGACTGGCATGATTGTCTCACCCTGAATCAGAGATTCAACATTGGCCTTTTCAATAACACTCTCTACAACAGCCTTTCAGATGACATCTGGGAAGAAGAGCGAGACAAGGGAATGAAAATGGTATGCATTCTTCCACCATCATACACACAGTTATCGACTCTAATTCATACTTCATCTCATTCCACCTCTCGTACATGCCCACTACCTCCTTGCACCACACACACCCAACGCTATCCTAACCCAACCTGTGCCTGCTCCACTGCACGTTACCCGCTACCTTCTCCCACTTCCCATTTGCTCCCCACTCTTCCAAAATAAACCTCGCTACCTCCCACTTCCCATTCACCACCAACCCATGCTACCAACCAACTTACAATGCTGCTGCACCCATGCTCCCCACCATCCGCTTCCCCTTCTTGCTACCATCCACTTCTTCCAACTCAACCCAACTGTCTGCTGCATCCATGCTACCACACTAATGCTACCTCCCCCCACTGCCACCACCCAGCTCCAGAACTCAGTCACTTTCTCATCATCACAGCTGAAAGATCGACTACAAGAGAATGTTCCCTCTCGCGGGAAACAAGAACTGGCAGGAGGCGCCCAGTCTGAGGAGCATTTCCACCCCTACCAGCGACCTTCTGGAAATCAACAAGAGAAACAGACCAATGCCAACCAGTCTTTTCCAGCCGGCGCAGGCAGAACCGGTTCCTCTGCCTGTGCCCTTTGCCTGGGCCACTTCCATTACAACATCCACAAGTGCGCAGCTGAGCTCTTGTGGGATGGACACACCAAAACCCACTGTAGTCAAAACTCAGCGGGTCATTTGGTCAACCCCGAAGGTCGAGAGCTATGCTATGATTGGCAAAGACCAAATGGTTGCATCAATACCTCCCGCTCCCATGTTCACAAGTGCTCAGGCTGTGGAAGCAAAGAGCATGGCGCTCAAGGATGTTCTCTCAGTGAGACACTCTAGGGCGCTCACCCTGTATCACCCAGAAGCCTGGCATCATTTTCTTACTATCTCTAATCTTATACATAGATACAAACATATTACAAATAATTTACGCACGGGCTTTACCGGAAGTATCCGTCCAATCACCTCTACTTACACACCAACTAATAATCCCTCAATTCTTGAACATCATGACACTTTTAACACAATCATTGAACATGAGTATGCCACCGGCAGATATCTGGGCCTGCTGTCCAAAACCAAAACAGAAGCCCTCATTGGTCCTTTCCAAACAGCTCCTCTGTCCATCATACCCAAACCGGGTAAACCAGGGAGGTTCTGCATTGTCCAAAACTTGTCCTTTCCCTCATCCCCTTCCCCCCCATCTCATCCATCAACTCTTCCATTGACTCCAATCTCTATCCGTGCATGTGAGGAACCACCGCCACCATTTGCACCCTCATTTGGCATCTCCCACCAGGATCCCAAGTGGCCGTCCATGACATGGCCAAAGCCTATCGTACTGTACCATTACACCCGTCCCAGTGGCCTGGACTGGTCATCCGCACAGACACCAACAGCTTCGCTATCGACACAAGCTTCTGTTTCAGCTGCTCATCGACTGCAGGATTATATGGAGAAATGGCTGATGCAGGCACAGACATCATGCGCTCGCAAGGCATTGGTCCAGTATCCAAATGGGTCGACGACCACTTCTTCATCTGAATCCTATGTAAGCACCTCAAAGTATACAACCAACTACGCGCAGCAAGAGCTCCCATCATCGCCAAGAACAGTGGCTGCCTCGTGGAAGGAGGACATCGTTGGTATCAAGGATCCTCGATGCCCAATGACTGAGTCAAAGAATTTGACGAAGACTTCACCTTTCCCATCATTGATCTATCATCAGCTTCCCCCCACTCCCCAGAGGATGCGCATTTCACTTACTGCTTCAATGACATCAACAGACTCTCCCTCATGCTGGGTATTCCTTGGGAACTCGCCAAGGATATACTCTTCTCCATGTGCACCCCATTCATCGTCTTTCTGTGGGATTTGGGGACCCTGTGGGTCTCCATCCTAGAACAGAAGAAAGAAAAATACCTGGAGGCCATTCACATATGGGAGAAACAACCCGTACACACCCTGCTTGAAACGCAGCAATTCCACGGCAAACTCCTTCACACATCTTTCATTCTCCCTGCCAGGAGAGCATACCTGGTTTCCCTCGAAGCCATGCTATCCATCTGCAATAACCATCCTCACATGCCTCGCACCCCCCTGAAAGACACTGCAGACAACCTCCGCTGGTGGAAAGGGAACCTTGCTCAACCTGATGTCTCCTGCACCATCCCAGGACCCATTGATGTCATCGACCCCACAGCTTACTCAGACACTAGCTCGGACATTGGCATTGCGATCTGGATCAATGGTTGGTGGCAAGCTTGGCGCCTTTTACCAGGGTGGAACCAAGACAAGCACAACATTGGCTGGGCTGAAGCAGTCGGAATGGAACTCCTCACTCGCGCGCTCACTGCTAACTGCCCGGAAAACTCATGCCTCAAAGTTTACGGGGACAACAGGGGTGTTGTTGAAGGGTGGTGGAAGGGCCACAGCCGGAACCGGGCCACCAATGAGGTTTTCAAGCGCATCCATGAACTCTCAGCCGCAACCAAGTGCACCTTCCTCACCCGCTATGTTCCCAGCACACATAACCCCACAGACAACCCCTCAAGAGATAAGTATCCACCAACCAACCTCCTACTCCCCCCAGTATTCATCCCGGCAGAAATCCAAGAGTTCCTCACCGACTTCGATGCTCCCGCTCTCCCTGCTCAATGCTTCACTGAAACGTCGCGCCACAAGACTCTCGCACCCACTCAGCCTAGCTACAGCACCAACCATCACTCACACGACCTCAACAATGTCCTCAGATGTGAGGGAGAGGCTCTCTTTGAAGTGTCCCAAGCATAGTAAATGCTGCACCCACCCACACTTTCTCAAACAAATACTAAGGATCCACTCACCCCATAGCCTATCCTGCTAACCCAGCTCTTCGCCCATCCCCACTATGGCCACACTGTGCAGCCAGAGACAGCCTGCAGCTCTGGTCTCCAACAAGCACAAACTCGCTGTTATCCCACCCCAACCATGAAGTCCAGTGCATACAAGACATCATGATACACGCCTGGGCCCGCAGCACTCAGGAACTGTACGGCAGTGGAATCCTCGCCTTCCACATATTCTGTGACACAAAGTCAATTGAAGAAGCACTTCGGTCCCCAGCGTCCTCCAACCTTATTGCATCGTTCATCACCACTATGGCGGGTCTATATTCCGGGAAAACAATATCTAACTACATGCATGGCATCCGCGCATGGCACATCCTGCACAGTCAACCCTGGACCATCAACGATGACCAGATCGTCACCCTCCTCAAAGTGGCAACCAACCTCACCCCTGCCACTTCCAAGAAGAAGAAATGACAGCCCTACACAGTAGACTTCGTCAAAGCACTACTAGGAAAACTTGACGCTAATAACCCTCTTATTGCTGCAGTATGCGCCTGTCTCACAGTCACCTTCTACACCATGGCACAAGCGGGGAAATTCACGGTATCCAGCATCAACGGATTCAACCTGTCCATGCACATCACCTGCTCAGACGTTTGCCGTGAAACTGACCAGAACAGCTTACAAACAACCGCTTTCCACCTTCCTCGCACGAAGTCTTCTCCCACAGGAGAAGATGTTTCATGCGCACAGCGTCTCTGACCCTGAAGCAGCCCTAGAAAATCATTATCGCGTCAATGATCCTCCCAACAACATAGCCCTTTTCTCCTACAAGCAAGGGAAAGGTCACCGAGTTCTTACGAAGTCAAAATTCATTGCATGTCTTGCACAAGCCGCAACAGATGCAAGCCTCATCCCTTTACAGGGTCATGGAATCAGAATTGGTGCCACCTTGGAATACCTTCTCCACAACATCCCTTTCAACGTCGTCAAGACAATGGGACAATGGGCCAGTGACGCCTTCCAATTGTACCTTCACAAGCATGTGCAAATCCTCATGCCCTACCTCCAAGCCACACCTGCTCTCCACGACGAGTATCTATGATATGCAATGCCACGTGTCTGCTGAAGGTACCATCCGAAATGTAAGCACCCAGTTCATCCACTCCTACTACCTTGGGAATTCGAGTTTCGCTCTATGCGTCGCTGGACTCCTACTTATATGGGATTCGCAGCTCACTCGTCTCTTACAGACATGCAGATCAGGACCGGGAAGCACTATGTGCTTTCGCCCAAATAGCTCCATTGTGCTCTTGTAGCTTAGAACTTTGTCCTTTGTAGTCAAAATTTATCTGAAATTTCTGACCAAATAACTAAGCTTCTATGTGAATCTCAAAGACTGTATTACTCAGATATTTGAGTGGAGAAAGTTTATAGATGAGAATATGTGAGATGTGAACAAGTCATCATGGAACATCTTGACAATGGACTCACTATGAGTCATATTTCCTTATTTAGATAGTTACACAGCCACATTTAGAGTAGTATATAAGGGATTCTGTTTCCCCTCTGAATAATAGATGCCCTCTTCTTAAAAGATTCCCTTTTGAGAAGAAAGGAAGATTTGAATATCTTCTTAAGTTTCTCACCCTATATTTGAGTGAATATCTAAGTGAATATTAGTTTATTCCCTCCATTCATTTATCATCATTTCCCACAATATACTGATCTTCTGAGGCATACCTTGAGCCAATCCTTAAATTACACTAGCTGGTACATGGTTATCAGTCGTCTAGTTGTAGTTTCGTCATTCTCTTTACGACATAGGATATCTTTTCTGTGGGGAGAATCTATGTATTTCTTAACAACTAGGAAGAAAGACAAATAAGACTAGCACTTTACTCAACAATATTAAGAGCTTGGCTGCTTTAAGACTACACCAAGAGGGTGTACTCTGTTCTGACCTGTGTCATACTCATTGTGCAGTACCTGAGCAGCAGAGAAGTTAGTTTCAAAGCTACATATTTCGGTTGATTCGATTGTATTAGAGGCTTAGTTTGATCTCCTCTGATTTTAACTTAAGAATAGGGAGTGTTTACGAGATAATACTCTGATTCATTAAATATTGTCACAATCCATTATTATCATCTTATCCTTGCATATCTTTGCAACCATCTTCTTGTAGCATCATGGCACTGCATCAAGCCTATTATCAATTCAGCTACACCATCACCCATCAATCCTTATTATCTGTGTCCTAAGTACTGCATCAAGCCAATTAATGGATCAAACAACCTTCAAGTACCTAAGCACTGCATCAAGCCAGTTAACAGTTACTATTTCTGAGATTTACCTTAATCTCATCCCTTTCAAAGTTATTTGGAATTTGCTTATTTTTGACAAACCCAACTTCTACACCTCCTCCCACAAACGACCACATTATCAACTATTAATATTTGTCTGAACTGTTGACTGTGGAGGATAGTGAGAACTGGTGATTTTTATTGTCAATCACATCCTAGTAAAACAGCGCACAACAGCAACTCTATTGCTGAAATGCTCCAGAGTCTCATTGTACTAAGGTCTGACCTCACGGCTCTCTCAGTTGATCCCTCAGCAGCTACAACAATGCCTATATCCATGGCCAGTACCACAGCCACTCCAACTTCAGCTGAGTACATGTTAGTTATATGATTATTCACCTCTACAGGGTGCACTTCTATGTCTTCTATGTGTTTTATTGTGTCTTCATACTCATGGTATTATTGCTGGCACTTTACTTACTATTTACATGATTTCCTGACCTCCCTAGGATGTCCCTAGGTCAAGTTATTACTTATCCTTTGATTGTGGCTTGTCTGTTTACATTTGTCCAGTGCTTCCTGCCTCTTTGGCAACTTACTCTGGACTCTAGTCTGATCCATTCTGGTCTCTCAGTAGCCTCTAGAAGTGGCCCACTTCACTCCTATCTTAATAGATTATGAGCCCTGTATTGTAACCATTTCAAAATCGCTATAGCTCAAGATCCACTGAAGATATTGACCCTGAAAACCCTCTGGAGCGCATCAGAGTTGTTGTAGAGTGTCTGGATCAGTTGGAGATCAGTCAATTTTAGGCTCATAGTACACCCCTTTCCACACTTTTCACTTATATTGAGGTCTATTCATTACATATCTGACTTGGGGTGTCTTCCATTGTATTTTGCGCCTTCAGAAGGGCTACAGGTGAACTATTTCTCCACTGCTCTGTAGACCAAAGGCTGCATTTTGAGGATGTTCAGGACAACCCTGTCAAGATCTAGACCACCCTCGAGTCTACCCATATCCAGCAGCTCCCTGCCACATCAGGAAACCTGCATTTTCCCTGATTGACTTGCATGGTCTGACAGCAATAATAAGCTGCCTATCTCAGAGTATGACATACTATATGTCTGACATCAGACCAGGCAGATCATTCAGGCAAAACACACATATATTCCATCAGAACACCAATACCAATAGACCTATCATATAATCCTTGAGTGCTGGCTCTACACCATCAGATAGTACAGGCTGTTTGTTCATTAGAATGTCAATACTAACAGCCTAATTAGTACAATCAGGTGCCAACACAGTTAAATTCCTAGATGGACAGGCAGAGCAGTGTCATTTGTTCACCCAACCAGCAGTAATAGTAGACACATCAAATGGCATAAGCAAGACAGACAATTTACCTGGCAGAATATAAGTACCCGCAGACTGATCGATCATATTACCATTGAGGCCAAAATACATTATTGCAGACAGTACAATATATCTGTCCCTCAGATAGTACTGATTACAGCTTAATCAGAGGGATTAGATGTACACGAGGTCATATTTCCCTATCCTCAGTAGCACAGACCATATGCCCCCCCAGACTAGTATTGGTTTCAGGAATATTAGATGAAACAGTGGTAAGCAACATCAGATTCTCATATCAGCAAGGAGAACAGACAATCTGGATCTCATAATATCAATCAATACAGACAATAATTATCAGATGAGTGGAAGTTCTTGTCGGCAATTTCACACTAAAAAAAACACAGCTGTTGGAAGTTGAACTCGGTACTGCCACTACTAGTTCCAGTAACACCTTTGATACCATTCAACCAAAGTCACAATTTGGAGCAGGACAATTCATTCCATGTAGTAAGCCTGACAAACTAAGAACAAAGCTGTACATTGTACAATAGCGTATAGTATGGAAACATATGATGATACTACTAGTACAAATCATGATGAAAACAAACGAAACTTAAGTGAATCATGATCAAACATGATGTAACCAGTATTAATAGTATCTCCCTCGCTTGTTGGAGCTTCCAGACAGGACGTACTTGGCATCATCGACCTTGTTGATGCTGCGCTTCAGGGAGTTCTCATACCACTTGCGATATCTCCTGAATCCTGTTTGCTTGGTGACTGTCTCCAAGCCATCAACACAAGCGCCCCAAGCAATCACTGTGTCCGGAAGAGTGTACCCTCTGAGGTTTTGGATTAAGGCGCTGAAAAAAACTCTGTGAATTGCTGAAGTCACTGACAGATTGATGGTACTTACTTGAGAGGGTCGCCATTACTTATAGAATATTCACCCTCCCGGTGCCAGACTGTTGAGTCACAAACACTTTCCAGGGTACACTTGAATAGATGCTACACATGTTGAAGTCCAGCATTGTCTTTCTGCAGGAAGAGTGCCTGTTAGTGTTGCATTAAATCAGTTAGAACTAGTTGCTAGCATCAAAAACATATACTACGTACTACAGTGGCATAATATTGCGAACAATGGTTGGTTGTCTTCACCTGTTGATTAGGGGGGCGGAGCCAAGTGGTAATAGTTATCATGAGGGGTTGCAGCCAAGTGTGCAAGCAAAACAAGATCCCATTATCACTCGTACTCCCACTGACCTCTTTGATGTGCCCAACCTTCTTCTTGTCTAACTCCTGCTCGATCACCCACTCATCACTCGGTAAGGTGTGTTTTTCTGCCTCGGCGATGTGGAAATGGGTGGCCCCCTCGATGTGGGGGTTCTTATTCACAAAATGTTGTATCTTCAACTCTGCTGACTCTGAAGATTGGGAGAACAATACTTTGAAAGGCCATAGCAGGTGGAACTCCGCATCTCTTGTCTCACATTGGATTAGCATATTGGGATGCCAAGGTTATGTTTGTCTTCATTGTCCTTGTCATCTGCCCCTTTTTCGACCATTGTGTTCATGTGCATGCAGATGGCAGTATGGAGTGCTGGTGGAAGTGGCAAAGATGCCGTGATGTTTCTTATTGTCGTGTGCAGAGGCACTAGAATGGATTTGTGAACTAGAGTTGGCAGATTGACAGAGAGTTATTGAAGGTGTGGAATGTATGATGGTCTGGAGAAAATGCTGGATCGGCTTAGACATGGCAGGTGGAGAGAAGGCTTACTTGCGAGTGAGATTATCGTCAGATTCAATTGCATTCAGGATATAATGATAATCTTGCTCTGAAACATTGGTACAGATGAAGTGTCTTTGAATAACATCTTGAGCAATATTTTGCATTGCTTGACATGTTTGACTCATTGCAACAAGGTCTGTTATCATCAACTCTTCCAATATTGATCTTATGATATTGGTATTGCATGCAACTGTGTATGGTAAGTGAAGCTCTCCAACATAATGGACAGTCTTACACTTCATAATGTCTTGATTTCATAGCTGTTTTTAAAAGTCGTCAATCATTGAATCATCTCGCCAACGTGATTAGACTATCATGTGATGTGCATGTTGTGAGCTGCTATGTACCAAGTTAGTCCCTTTCCCCCATTGCAACACCAGCCTCATTGGCAGCAATCTTTCAACTGATCATAAACCTTCTATCTAACATGACATCATAGTTGTATGGGCCTACTACCTATACATGCTGCTGTGTCAGACTCCTACAAAGGAATGTGCAGTGACTCGAAAATTTAAACTCAGTTGGTTATGCTTCAATTGCATACCCCTTTTTCTTGCACATGAAACACTATGCCATTCAATGCTCAAGTTTATCACGATGCGTTCACCTCCCATGATGAGAGTTATGCATCTACTACTTTGTGCAAAGATATCTCGTGGCAACACTCTGCAAATGGCCTGATTATTGTGGACCACAAGGATCAAACACCTTTCACTGGCTTTATTGTCGGACGGGTATCACCTTGGAATCTTAAGTGTGGTACCACTAGCAACTATCTCAAGAAAGGAGGACTTGAAAAAGCCAAATATCACAGACAAAGTTCTGAGACAAGAGTTTGATGCCGCTATCACCAATCTTGAAACTATGCAGAAAGTAGCGGGAACTACTGGTGATCATAGAAACATGGTGATTTGAGATGTTACAGGTGAGATGTTGTGTGTCATTGCCAATTTATTTGAACAGAGGGTATGTGATTTACATCTAGTGAAGATCTCAAATAAATTTTCATCTAGCCCATTTGCATTCCTTATTCACCTCATGGAAAGCGAGCTCCTGATGCTCCCAAGATGGACAGTACCACTGAGAACTGGGTTATTCCGACAGATCTGGAAGACCAGTTCAAGCTCGTCAAATACACACATTGCGCTGTCCCTCTGCCTGTCTTTGAAGATGACCAAGCTATCTCACCTTTGGATGCAAACCAACCATTGGATGGAGCCTTGGTCAAAGTCCATTTTTTGGTTTTCCAGTGGCATGTGCAAGGATATGATACATTTTTGGTGAAGGCAGTGAGGATCAACATTCTCAAATGTAGCGCAAGCATTATGACATCAAACATCCCTTGAGTGATGTGGACAATGAAGAACCGGCTCATAGGAAACAAGAGGTAGCAGTTGCAAGTGATTCAAAAGATTAAGTATTGATGCGTAAGTTTTGGGTCATGGTCTTTGTAATTGTATCATGAGGGCGCTTGTTCATCTTGTCTCATCAGCCTTTGTATTTGTACTGAGCATAACATATTTGTTTGTGCCATCATTTATTGTGTTTATCAACGCAGTGTATTATCTAGCTTTCACTACGGAAATGAGTAAATGATAGCTTTGGGTTCATGCACAGGATGATGTTGATGTCATGTGACTGGCAGATTATGTGCCGATGAAAATGACCTTGCTTCGCAAGGTAATATCATGCTGCATCATTTAAACACCTATAACAACACATTGGTTAAAAAATTGAGAAACAATGAAGTCTTGATGCTCAAAGAGCAGCAATAATATCACATTCAACACAGCTACAACATCACATGTATGAGGATCCAATCATTCCACAATTAATGATCAAGGTAAAAGACAAGTCCAATAATTTCGTCATTGCTATCATTTCACTTCTCTTCAATTCACCACCAACTTGCAATCATCTCTAACATTTTTGAGATGGCAATAGGGACAAAAGGCTGCATAAGCTTGGAGTTGCGCTGGCTGTTGAACTTGTAAGTCTCAGCTCAGTATTCATCTGAGTGATCAATGTCATCTTATGAATGTAGTCCTCTATCATGGGTGCCATGCAAGCAGCAACACTGGATTCTATGATGGCTAATTCTTCAGCCATGGCTTGCACATTTGCAACTGCAGAAGGTCGAGCCATGCTGATCCAAGTTGTTGGCCACCTTTCACAGGAAGTGAGTCTGTTGACCTGCCTTCAAACTTGAGGCATTCTGATCCAAGGTGTTTTTCACTGTTTACAGAGAGTAAGTCTGTTAATCCTCATTTGAGGTCAAGCCATTCTGATCTAAGGTTGTATCTAGACAGCGAACAAATAAATTCAATTTGAAAAATGCACATTCAACTTGATCACATAATACTGGGATTCCCATCAATTAGATAACTTAGATCATCTACTACTAGCCAACTGTACTACATGGATGAAGACATCGACCTCAAGGCCCAGCAACTGCTTGACCAACATTAATGTTGCTAGGCTGTTATTTTCATAGCAATATTAACGCAAATTCTGAATGCCTACTGTTAAGACCATGCACAAAGGGTAGGACTGATTCTGAGGGGCTTGGCTTCAGCTCGTGCGCTGCGCCCCTTACCCGAGTATGTGCCCTTAATTTCAGATTGGTGTCCGAGGAAAGTCCGAAGACGTCCAAAGACGTCCAAAGGACATCCAAAGGCGCAGGAAACTTCGGAAGGACTTTCTGGACGGGTGCAAGTAACTTCCGGATGAGTGCGGGAAAGTTCCGGAGGAACTTCCGGAAATTACAATGAGGTTTCGTCCTGATACGGATATGTATAATGGCTACTTGGGACTTGTCCTGAGTAGAAGTAAACAGAGGAAAGGCTGCAAGGACAAAGTCCGAAGCAGAATAGGTCCGGAGGACCGTGGGAAAGTTCCGGATGAACTTCCGGAACTTTGGATGAGTGGAGGAGTGGAGGAGCGGAGGAGCGGAGCTCTGGCCTAGGGAGAAACTCCCTAGGCCTGAGATGGATATCAACTAAGTTGGAAGACTAGAACTGATATGAGGACTTAGAGTGAAGACTAGTGCAAGGACTAATATGATATTCAGACTGAGGTACTACAAGACATATACACGAGTTTATATACTAAGAGAAATAACGGAAGGATCAATAAGCAGAGTCCGAGGCTATGTATGAAGCATATGCAAAGGTTGACAAACGCGAGTCAGAAATGAACATAGGTTAACGGATCAGTAAGCATACCGGTAATAGATATAACCGAGGTACCGGTAACAAGGAATACTGGATAGGCTGTGTTAACGTTATATGCACAGGAAATGAATTATGAAGCTTATCGTATATCAGATAGGAAATGGATCTATACATCGGATCGGACCAGATCGGATATGGTCCGGATGAGATGCATGGATATATAGGATGTGGCATTAGGGCGATGGGACAAGGATGAATGATGCAGGCTAGCTGCGAAGGATAAGGGATCCGGACGTGGACATGCGGATGTGGATGTGCAGAGGTGCAGGGATCCGAATGGGTACTGGAGACATGGATAGCACATCCAAAGGTCTGGATGAGGCATGGGAATATTATCGGATGTAGGTCCGAAATACGGGATATGACACCTACCAGCTCTTATTTTTATATCCAACTGTCCATGTCCCATACATCCATTCTTACTGTTGAAGCTTGGGTCAACTCATGAGACCCCATTTCCAACAAAATACTCAATGATCCTTAATTTTGGTACTTTTGGCATGGTAGATGGTCCCACATTTAGGCTTTTGTACCATTGGAAGAATACTTCCATGTACACAACCTGCAAGGGTTTTTTGTCACAAAACTGCCTCTTCATCTGTGACTTCAACTTCAACTTCCTATATTCACTTTGCAGATGGGATGGATCAATGGCTGATGCCACTCTGTGGACAGATGCTCACATTAACGACCTAAAAATCCCTAAAAGCCAATATTTTCTTGCAGATGCTGGCTTTGGGACCTCAGATGCTCTCCTTGTCCCATATTGAGGTGTCCATTATCATCTGAAAGAGTGGTGACAGGCTAATGTCAAGTTAGTTTTCATTTGTTAGTTCAAGCCGGCATTGGGCTAAACTAGATTGCTACATAGGCCACAGAACACAGAGGAGCTATTCAATCACCATCATTCAGCGCTTCACAACATGATTGAACATATTTTCGGTGTTCTGATGTGTCAATGGGGCATCCTGCAACATGTCCCTGAGTTAGCATGGACATTCAAGTCCAGATCCCTGTAGCACTATGCGCCCTATACAACTTCATTTGGAAGTATCACTCTGATATTTTTGACCTTCAATCTGACAGTAACCTTCTTGAAATCACTCAGGACGTTGCGTTAGATGAATTGGATGATGTAGGTGAATTATCTTAAAGAGCATGGACAGTGAGGACTTCCATTGCCAGGTCCCATATAATACTACACGTTACTAGACTTTAGTTTACAAAGGGGTTTTTTCTCCAACCACACAACTCATATTGTCTCTGAAAAGTTGGAAAAAATCACTGCCTGTGCCCTATCTCGCAAGCATGTCATCAAGCATAAGGTACAAATATTCTGACAATAAGACAATAGCACAACCAAGGGCCCCATCCTAAGATGATGAGGATGAAGCAGCACCTTGAGGAGACATTGTGAGGAATGTCTTGATGTAGTTAGTAAGCTCCTTCATCATATCAGACCCATCCTTCTGCACCTGAGCATTTACAGACAGCAGCCAAGTATCACAAAGGTAAGCTGACCAAAAGTAAGAGTACCAGCAGGAGGAGCGGCCTTAGGTTGATCACTGATGGGCACTGGCGCTGATGAGCTGGATGTAGGGACATTTGGGATGCGATATGTGTGCATTCCTTTCGAAATCTTAGGATCATCTGCTCAATGGCAGAGAAGTGTTCAAATCCCTTGGATTTGAACAATCTAGCTGTAGTGCACCAGTGAGAGTAATCATGTCATTAGTAGGGCATAAAAAGTGCAGCAGCAGAGTACTCGTATCTTGATATACCGATCCCAGACATTGTCATTCTTTCTAACTATTCCAGCTCCAAACTCATCACTCTACGTAAATCCTGATGTGTTCTTGATATTTAAGATGGTGTTATAGGCCTGAGCTACAAAGTGTGGATCCTTTGAGTATAGAAATATAATCATAACAGAAAGTGAGTCTGTTGATCCTTGTTTAAACTCATGGCATACTTACTCAAGCACCTGCCACAAGACCTCATACACACAAGGTGACCCAGAGCAAAACCAAGGCAATGGTGGCGGTATCTGCTGGAGATGAACTAGAAGGCCCTATTAGAAGAAAAAACACCTGGCACTGATGATTGCATCCAGCATGTGTCTTTCCATCTCCATTGGCATAGATATCATTCCTGGAATAGGTTTGTGGCATGTACATGGCCATCAGAATCATGGAAATACTCTCATATAATTCATTCCCAGCTCACTTACCCTGCAGCCAAGTTTCTTTGCAGAAAGTTCAAAGAGGCTGCCAGGGGTGCAGCAGAGAGCAGACTTTCATTCCAAAATCTTAATGAGACAGCTCACCCTGACATGGTCAGTCTTTGGGAAGCAGATGAGGCACTTGCTCAGGTAAACAGACTGGAGGATCCAACAGCCATGGACATTTATGAGGTCCGGTTAAAAAAGGGCAGGTGTCAAATTCTACTAACATTCATTCAGGCTGAATCATATTTTTATTATAATGCAGATGCCATGGTCTACAGCTCCAGCTAGAAAGCCACAGGAGTTGCACCTGCTGGAGGCTCAAAATTGTGCTGATCATTTAGTCACCAATTTCCTCAGTCAACAAGGAGCCGCCACTTGGCTAGCAACTGGTCTCACTATGGAGGCACCTGCTTATCTTGGATTTGAAGTTGATGCCAATGAACCAGATCCTCCAGTAGACAGGGTTCATAATTCACTTGAAGATTATTCCAATCTTGATGATTATGATCACAATCTGGATTCAGAACCACATTATATCTCTCTATTGTTAAGATGGGAGTGAAGTGAGCTGCTTTTAGAGGCTACTGAGAGACCAGATGAGATCAGATTAGAGTCCAGAATAAGTTTCCAATGTATTAGTTCTGCCTTAATCCTCACTTCAATGGCTTTCAACATATTTCATACCCTTGTGTTAACTCCTTGTTTATGGAGGTTGTAGTCTTTGTACTTGAGGATTGCAGTCTAAGTGCATGTACAATTGCATGGAACATTCTTCAGAATTCTGGCTTGATAAATACTAGGATAAAAACACATTCCTTTCACTTTCCTTACTAGCTTTTGCAGATAGCTGTATCATTTTTTCACTTTATGCTATTTTCAGTGTTAATCACTATTGGCTAGAAGTTGTTTTATTATTAGTTTGCCTGAAATACTAAGCTTTGTTGGGCGCTATGCGGTGCATGATACACATTCAAGTTGTCTCCAGTGATTCTACCCTTGTCATAATTAGTGTAAACACCCAAAAAATAGCTTTCTTTTTCAGGATGGTTGACAATGAAATTAATCTTTCTTCCCTATTGTCTATCCCCGATGTCAGTGATATTCATGACATGAAAAAAAATCACCTCTGATGAACTCAATTGTTTGGTTACACATGAGGATCCACTAGAGGCATCACAACTGCCAGGACACTTGCTGTCTCACATCTTCCAGCCTTTTAAAATTTCTCTCCCTGATGTATCTGACCTCAAAATTCCCCTTAGAAAAATAATTTATTTCAATGAGTGTCTCAGGTCACAATAGATCACAATACTAGGGCTTATCACCAGATTCCCTAGTGCCACTGTACAACACTGCAACCTGCACTTGAAACTGAGATCTTTCAGTTAACCCTCCTGAAGACGAGTCGGACTTGAATACTAGGAGTGCTAGTGGCACTCCAGTGAGTCTGAACCCAGAGGCTGCAGGGAGTATGACTTACAAAGCAATTGGCATATCCTTTATAAACACTCTTGCTGGCTGCTTATTAGCATCATAGCCCCTGCTTGAATGCAAGTGCTATGCAACTCACACTTAGAGTGCAGCCAGTGCTCACAAGGCATTGCCTAGCAGCAACATAAAGCGTAAATCTGATCTTATCCTCTCTGATGACATCATAGCAAGATGGAGAAACATCAGGGTATCTGATGAGCTGACACATAGTCCTTATAAGCCTGCAATGTGGCTTGGGAAGGCTGCAGACACCCATGCCTATCTCATGATGAGCAAACAGCCCTGGAGGTGCTTTGTGCTAATCTTATCAGTCACTAATGTATATCACCATCTCAGAGTCCTCATATACAATCGCTCTGGTAGTGCTGTATCTACTCACTTTGATATCTATCAGCAACTGGATTTATTTTCTCATATTATCGCTGCTATCAATTTCAGCAGTCTAGAATGTGTTGGGTACAATTCAACAGTCTCTTTTATGAAGCATGTTTTGCTACCTCTTTCTACAGACATCCAAGTCTATTGTCCAATCAAGAATATTCCCATATAACATAGCAGTTCACCAGACCCTGCTGCTTCCACCTCTGAATCCATCATTGAACTGTTTATTTGTGAGAGCTTGTCATCTGATGATCACCTCGAGTCTGTAGTCTCTGATGCCTCTACCTCTGAGGAACACTCAAGTGAGGACTCCCTTAAAGTGAGCTCAAATGATACAACTACTCAACCATTTGCATATGAAGAATCCCTCCTTTCTCTTTCACATGCAACCTACCATGGTATCCAGTGCCCCCCTTCTTAGCCTCACATTCCAAATGTCCCAGGACTTGACAGAAAGCATATGCACCATCATGCCCTATCCTTCCCAATTTTCTCATTCTGTGCACTCACCTAAACCTTGTGGCAAGATCTATGGAGGGAATAATGTATATATCATCAAGAGAATTCTCTTCATGAGTTGGAGCCTCGTTGGTCATGAAACTATCTGCTCTCTGGCCAGTTTGAATGAAGAGGAGTATATTGTCAAGGACCATTGGATTCTTGGCAAGCAGAATGCCATCATACTGAATTAGACTGAGATGCTGAAATTGATGCATGGTATCTCTGGTGTTCCAGAACTAGTAGATTATTGGCTTGTTACAACATCAGAAAGTGAGGTCGACAACACTTGAAGTTATCACACAAGAGAACCCACATGAGCCTATGGGCAATTGTAATGGTAACATATGGGTGGGCCCATAGTCTATAGTGGTGGGCCTATAGCATAATAATGATGGATCCCATGTAATGATTATCATGGGTGATGACTTGGCCCAAAATGTTCATAAGATGTCATAAATAATGTGTCAGCCCTTAGATGCTGAAAGTCACAATTATTATAGATAATGACTTGGCCCAACATGTCTATAAGACACTGTGAATGCCATCTTGGCTCATGGGTGCTGAAATTTATCACAGTCAATTACATTTCAGTTCAGATACAGGTCTGGATAGTCACACTTTGGCATATCCAGCATTCAATGATCACCTCTGGACTCCTATACATGGCAATGATGAATCACATGCAAAATGTGCAACCCTCTAGTTATGCTCGGTCAGTGTTATTCAGATGTTGACCAAGAGATATATCAAGCATCAAATGTGGCTGGCCATGCTCGGTCAGTATAACTCAGATGCAGCCAAACAACATATGAAGTCAAATATAGCCAGTCATGCTAGATCAGTGTAATTAAGATCTGGTCAACAGATCACATCAAACATCAGATGTGGCCAACCATGCATAGCAGCATATGATGCTAGCAGGATGAAGTTAGGTAGATTGAACAGATATATGTGGGTAATAAGCCACCAATGGTGATAATGTACATCAGCCTGTCATACTAGCAGAAGAAAGTCAGATAGATAGGACTGATATATGTGGTGGCCAGCCGAGAAGTTTGATAATGCACAGCAGCCCATGATACTATGTCAGATAGATAAGTATGTGTCTGCACTGCAAAAGTAACAAGATAAATATAATCAATACTAAAGGTGGTAGGCCAATCAATGGGAATTATGAATTTTACATACCACTTCAAATGTCTTCTACCTTGCTGTACTTCACATAATTCTCCTCAGCATACATTGAGTGCTGCTGTCCATGTGGTATTTAGAAATAATTATACATGCTGTCTCTCATAAACCATGCCCACACCCATTTATCACCCAACTTGACATCTACCTCATGCTGGACAAGCCAACCCCAGAATTTAAGACTTCTAAGACTTCTAAGACTTCAATGACTTTGAGGATACTTCTAGGATACACTTTTAGAACACTTTGAAGACATACCAAATTAGAATATATTTGTACAATTTGATCTAGTTATTTGCATGTTCATCCATGCTTTATCTATATCCACCTATCTTTACCAGTCTATTATCATTGCTTTTTGAATTTAACTAAATAGTAGCAAGTCCTATTATATGTATCCTTATGGTTCACACAGTGCTTATAGCCTTATTACATACATATAGTATGACCTTGCTTACCTTGCTAGAGTTTTTGTCTATGAGTTCTGGATATTCATATAGTATAATAAATTGTTACATAGCATATACTAAATAATATTTCCTTCCCTTTGGATGCTATCAGTGTTAGTGAAATCATCTTAGTAGTTATTTACTATATCTTTGTATGATTAACTTGTTTTTACTGATTATCTTTGGATACACATTACTTGATTACTTTAGGTGTATGCTAGTACCAAGTTTTATCTTAAAGTGTATTTTGCCAATATCTAGTCACTACATAGTGAATCTGTACTCTAGATTTGTGCATATTTATTTACACATTAGTATGCATTTATGTTTTAGTTTAATGAGTTTCTAACCTATGTACATCTGAAATATTATAGCTTTTTGAATGAACTACTATTTTAATAGATAATATTTTACATTTAAGTTAGATAAAGATTAATACAACTTTGTATTTGAATATTAGTTACCAGATAGTGTCAATCAGTGAATTAGATAGAGTGAAATGCCTATAATTGTATATGATATTGTGTTGACATATATTACTATTGTTATTAAAATTTATTGAAGATTTTATGATTTAGTGCTAATTATGCTGCACTGGTAACTACTTAAGGTCTTAGATTCAAGCACCCTACTGCTTGCAAATTATTATATATGAAATCAATCAGCTAATATAACATATAATTTTATTGTGATACAGCTCAGTAATTTTTTCTTGACTTTTGTACTTTAAAAATAGCTTGAGATATTCTGATATAGCTTATTATCAATCCATATAGAAGGCTCTTAGTTATAGGCTTGTGAGTTCAAAAGTTATGTAATATACAAACTTCAAATACAAACATATTGCTTTGTTGAGAGAAAGAAGTGACATCACACTAGCACATATATAATTACGTACATTAATAAACACTCATTTCTATCTCAGGATTATATTGGTAACTCTAGCATTTCTCTAAAGAGAGATTAATTATACAAAAAATTATCAAACTACTAGATAATTATAATCTGTATAATTAATGCAATTTCAAGACCTCATTTCTACATTTATTTTGAGTACAAATAAGTCTTCTGTTAGTCACAATTGAATTATAGTTGTTTTGTTAGTTATATCTCATAAAAAGTTTCAAGTCACTCAAGGTTTTAGCTTTCTTCTTAATTACCAACTATAACATTCTCTAGAAATACAAACTAGTATAATAAAGTAGAAAATAAATAATAATGATACAGTGT